CGGGAGCAGCCACTGCACTCCAGTCTGGGTGACAGGGTGAGACTCCAACTCAAAAATAAAAAAACAAAACAAAAATTTAGCCTGGCATGATGGTGCACGCCTGTGGTTCCAGTCACTTGGAATGCTGAGGTGGATAGATCACCTGAGCCTATTAGGTCAAAGCTGTGGTGGCCATGAACGTGCTACTGCGCTCTAGCCTGGGTGACAGAGTGAGACTCCAACTCAAAAAAGTTTTTTTGGTAGAGATGAGGTCTCGCTTTGTTGCCCAGACTGATCTTGAATTCTTGGCCTCAAGTGATCCTCCTGTCTCGGCCTCCCAAAGTGCTAGGATTATAGGTGTGAGCCACCATGCTTGGCCAAGTTGTAAATTTTTATTTTAAAAAACTTTTATAAATTAAATTAAACCTTATTTTTAGAGACAGGGTCTTGCTCTGTTTCCTGGGCAAGAGTGCAGTGTGCAATTATAGGTCACTGTGACCTCAGACTCCTGGGCTCAAGGAAACCTCCCATCTCAGCCTCCCGAGGAGCTAGGACTATAGGCATGTGCCATCACACCTGGCTAATTTTTTAATTGTTTTGTAGAGAGAGGGTCTCACTGTTTCCTAGAATAATCTTGAGCTCCTGGCCTCAAACAATCCTCCTGTCTTGGCCTCCCAAAACACTGGGAGATTATAGGTGTAAGCTACCATGCCTAGCTCAAGATGTGTATTTTTAGACTTTATGTTTTATTGGGTGATTTTCCTATGTAGGTGGGTTTATCTTACAGAATTGGATTTTGGGTGTTTTGATGAGAAGTAGACCAGAATTAGAAGCAGCAGAATTCTGCTCAGTTTTGTATTCATTCATTCAGCAGATGGTCAGTGGGTACCTGTCATGTGTTGTCAGTTACTGTACCAGGTGCCAGGCTTACAAAGATATATAAGACCCAGTCCATGCCCTTGTACATGATCAGGTAGAGGGAGACACTGGTGAATGCTATAAGCAAGAATGGGATGGTACAATGCAAAACAAAAGAACAGATATTCTTAGGCCGGGTGTGGTGGCTCAAGCCTGTAATCCCAGCACTTTGGGAGGCCAAGGTGAGAGGATTGCCCGAGCCCATGGGTTTGAGACCAGTCTGCCAAGTCTTGATTCATTCTTTCATTCATTCATTCATTTAGTCAAACTCAGCAGTCATTTATTAAGTATCTACTAAGTGCCAGGCACTGTTTTTCAAATCTAGGGAGAAATGGTAAAGGTGACAGGTAAGTTCCTGTTCTCATGGAGTCTAGCATGGGGAGGAAGACAAGAATAAATCAACGAATACATATGTAAGACATGATCAAGTATGGTTAACATTCTGATACAAAGCAGGTGCAGTCATAGAGCATAAAGCATAGGGTAGGAGGTTCCTTTAGATACAGAAGCTTAAAGGAAGCTCCCTCTGAGGTGGTTCCCTTTAAACTGAGACCTGATGGACAAGAAGGAGTCAAGCTCTGGCGGGACACACTTCTAGGCAGAGCAAGTGGCCAGGGAAATCTTCCTGGATGACAAGGGAAGGAAAGCCATATTTTTATTATTATTTTTTTGAGTTGGAGTCTCACTCTGTCGCCCAGATTGGAGTGCAGTGGCCACTCTCGGCCACCGCAGCCTCGACCTGCTGTGCTCCGGCGATCCTTCCACCTCAGCCTTCCAAGTAGCTGGAACTACAGGTGCGCGCTACCATGCCCAGCTAGTTTTTGATTTATTGTAGAGATGAGGTCTCGTCAAGTTGCCCAGGCGGGTCTCGAACCCATGGGCTCAGACAATCCACTCACCTCGGCCTCCCAAAGTGCTGGGATTATAGGCTGAGCCACAGAGCCCGGCCGGAAAGCCATTTTAAATACAGGACCAACGTGCAGAAACAGGTAACACAAGATATACATAGAGAACAGAGCCTCGCAGGAGCTGAGACTGAGGGTTGAGCAAGGATCCTGGAGAATCTGTCCTTGAGGCTTATGGTCACCAAGATTTTCCAGTGAAATATTTTTTCACAGAACTGACTTTCACTGGGCTAATTTTTTTTTTTTTTTTGAGTTGGAGTCTCTCACTCCATTTCCCAGGCTCGAGTGCAATGGCATGCTCATGGCCACTGCAGCCTCCACCTGCTGGGCTCAGGTGATCCTTCTGCCTCAGCCTCCCAAGTAGCTGTAACTACAGTCACACACCACCACGCCCAGGTAATTTTTAAATTTATTGTAGAGATGAGGTCTCACCAAGTTGCCCAGGCTGGTCTGGAACCTATGGGCTCAGGCAATCCTCTCACTTTGGCCTCCCAAAGTGCTGGGATTATAGGCGTGAGCCACCACGCCTGGCCACTGGGCTAATTTTTAAGCCTGTATATAGTATGTGAATATTCTAGTACCAATCTTAAATAAATTAGGCTTTAGTAGTATATGCTATATAAATAAAGAGCAAAAATCAAGGTTTCAATCTTCTCATACCCCAGGGGATAGTTTGGCAGGCCCTTTGGGGATGCCTGCACCCCACCCTGGAATCGGCTGTTATTCATCAAAGGATGGTGACTGGAGCAGATTCACATTTTAAAAATCCCGTCTGGCAGCTGTGTGGAGGATGAGTGGTGGATGGTGGGAGACTGGAGACTGGAAGACCAGTTAGGAAACTAATGCAATAGATCCCTGGAGAGAGATGGTAAGAGCCTGAGGGACAGCTGTGAGATGGAGAGAACAGATCTGAGAGGTGTTTAGGAGACAAGAGTCACACAGTTTGGTGCCTGAGGGATAAAAGTAGAGGCTCATGCAGAATCCAGAATTCACATATTCATTTACTCAACAGGAAACCATTTACACTCTGTAAGAGCTTTGGGGGCTGGGCATGGTGGCTCACGCCTATAATCCCAGCACTTTGGGAAGCTGAGGTGAGAGGATTTCCTGAGCCCACATGTTTGAGACCAGCCTGGGCAACTGGTGAAACCTCATTTCTACAATAAATTTTTAAAAAGTGAGCTGGGCATGGTGGTGCGTGCTTGTAGTTCCAGCTACTTAGAAGGCTGAGGTGTAAGGATCACCTGAGCCCAGCAGGTATAGGCTATGGTGGTCGTGAGCATGCCACTGCCCTCCAGGCTGGGTTTTCAGACTCTGACTCAAAAAAAAAAAAAAAAAAGGGAGAGAAGGATGAGCAAGTCAGATATGGTCTTCAGCAAGTATTTATGCCTGGTGTGGTGGCTCATGCCTGTAAACCCAGCACTTTGAGAGGCCGAGGCAAGAGGATTGCCTGAACCCGGGGGAGACTTCATCTCTACAATAAATCAAAAAAGTAGCTGGGTGTGGTGGCACACACCTGTAGTTTCAGCTACTTGGAAGGCTGGGGCAGAAGAATTGCCTGAGCCCAGCAAGTCGAGCCTTTGGTTGGCCATGAGCATGCCACTGCACTCCAGCCTGGGCGACAGAGTGAGACTCTAACTCCAATAAACAAACAAACAAAACAAAACCAATAAATAAATAAATAAATATTTATTACTTGCTCTTAAAAGAGTCCTAATATCTACTACAACTATAATAATAGTTAACATTTATTGGATGTCTACTGTGTACCAGCACTAAACCATGGTAAATTCTCCACTTTGTCATTCTTGTCTGACAGTGAGGATAGTAAGACGCAGAGAGACAAAGTGCACTCAAATCTGAGATGTGATAGCATTGTCATGAAGGAAGCATACCAATACAGTGGAATCAGAGCCAGGGCCCTGCTTCATCCGAGGGATCTGAAAAGGCTTTCTTCCCTGAGAGAATGGTATAGCTGCGCATTATAGGCCAAGTCAAGGATTTTGAGCTTGGATTTCTAGCCAGACAGACTGGGTG